TCCTTCACAAATTGGAAATTCGAACTGAAACGAAGAAATCCTCTTTGTGAACAGTGTGGTTGAGTTTCACTACGATACTGAATCCGATTCTACTTTCGAATCATGGTTACGATGATACGAAGACATTTTTTGGATGGAATACGCGGAGTTGGATGATGGTTGAAATCGCGACTGTTACTCCGAAAGCTCAAGATAAGCAAGCATGACTAATTTATTAATTTTATTTCCCTCAAATCCCCCGAAGGTGTTTTCCTTTGATGAACTTGCACAACTGTTGAAAGATATTTTTTATGAACCGTCTTCTTCACTGAACTTTTGCTGCAACTGTTTGAATCCGGTTAGATCGGGCATTGATGACTATCTTACATATGCAAGCGTATTGAACCGTCAGTGTGAAAGATTCAAACTCAGAAAAAGGACAGAAGATCAATTTAAATGTCTCAGCTTTATCTGTGGCCTACAGTCACCACGAGATGTCGACATCCGAGCTCGATTGTTAAGCAAGTTTGAACAGAATCCATCAGTCAACGTTTAAACGGTTATAATGGCGTGCTAAAGTTTACTAAATCTCAAGCACGATACAGCAATTATAGATCGTACTAATCTATCTCAATTTGACCATGTGCATGCCGTTTCGAAGATTATTCAGAGGCCAGGTGCGAAGAAGCAATCGGTGGCGTTCAGTAAGCCACCTACGTCTTACTGGAAGTGCAATAAATGGCACTTCGCCCGTTTCTGCCCCTTCAAGAAGCACCAGTGTCAGAAGTGCCACAAAAAAGGATACAAAGAAGAGTGCTGCCGCACAACCTTCTCTCAACAAGGCAACAAACCATTCAAGCAAACAATGCGTCCTTCAAAGCCACACACCAAACCAGTACTAGTCAGTTTCAACCCGGATTGGAAACGTCAGAGAAAATTCGTCAGTTGTCTTAAGTGACACACAGGTACGTCTGCAACTCGATACCGCTTCCGATATCACAGTCATTCCCAAAGATATCTGGAAAATAATGGGTAGACCTCTTTTCAACTTCACAACTCGTGTTGCTCTAAACGCTTCTGGTGGAAAATTACAATTGACCGGTGAGCTTCCTTGTTCTGTGCTGTGCAACAATATTCGTTTCACTGGAATGTTACTTGCCCTTGGTAGATGAATCCTATTTTTAGCACCATTTTTGACCCGTCTAGAACATTCCACGTGAGCTTTATGAACAACGACCCGTTTTCGGCTGCACATGACACGTCTGTACACGTCAGTGTTCAATAGATTAGTTGGTTAGCACGTTCATTGGCTTTTTGGTTTGGCTAAGCGCATCAGGCTATCAAGCGGCTCTCTGGACTCGGGTTCACGGTATTAAGAAGGCATTAAGAAAACTGTGGTCTACAACAGAAAACAACCTCACTTTTGTACTGGCCGAGAAGAGGTACCTTGATTTGCGGAGACTCCTGGATCTCTTTAAAGTGACTTCATATTGTGATGTCACCTATAAAATGTCTTTCAGCGGTACATAACTCACAGAGGCCAACCGATAAATTGAACAGTTTTGCCGTTGCACGTAAGTGCTAATCTGGGTAATCTGGGGGTAATCTGCGAAACGTCAGTATGTGTAAACCGGCATAACAATGTCGGAATTTTACACGCATATCCGGTGTCCCACGGTGGGCTACGGAGGCCTTAGTTGTGCAGATCATTCTTTTAAAGGCAAACTACGTACGACCTTCATCGCTTGCCAATTTCATTACCGTGTTGGAAAGACCAACGTTCACTTCTAGAAGTATTCATGTATGTGCATTAACTTGGTTGATACTGTGGGGTACATACTGATAACGAAACGGAAGACAATGGTCTCAAGCAGCCCAATAGACCATATTCCATCTTCGCTAGATGAATGGATTATGCCGACAACGAAACAACGCCGCATCAGATCAAACTCCAACGCATGACTAAATCACCGTTTTCAGAAAATTATGAAACACGAATAGTTAGTGTATTGCCTAGTAGTGTTCCGCTCTTGACATAAAAACTTCATCAGTCAAATTAACTTGGGGCTGCATGCAAGAAATTATGTTCACTAATCTACCTAGGGCAAAGAACTACATACCGAAAATCTTGAGCCCAAAGGAAATTAGTGGGACCACACAGAAAAGCAGACGAATATCGGGCACTGAACAAGGACTCAACGATTGCAGGACGTGAGCTAGACACGGGACAAATAGCAGACTTGGGAAAATTTAGATATCTTGTGGCGGGATTACGATTTATACCAAAAGGATTGATGATCAAGGTAAAAGAAATGGATAAACAGTCCACTGTGGGCAAAATAGGAGCCACAGAGCAGCTGATGGCATAGACAGTGGTTGTGCGCACTCCGAGTCAAGCGACGATGAGTGGATTTGTCAGTCACAGAAAAAAATGACAAGCTTACTTCTAGATTGGAAAGTTCAATCCGACCAAATATCATGATTTTCCTCCTCTCAAGACAACTGTCGCGGGAACGACACCTCCGGGCAGACGCATTTTGTAGGTAGTAACTCAAGTGGGATTGTGGTTTGGGGTGAATTGAAGAAACCTGACGCAAATGCAATTCACGCCAGTGTACCTCAGGTCATCGGTCACAACACGTACTCATCCATATGAACTAGCCGATATCTAAAACTGCTCTCGTCTTGTAAATCGGTCAATCAGACAAACGAAGATTTTCTGTCAACTATCCACTAATTAACCCATCGATCATTATTTAGTCGCTTCTGAAACAGCGACTCCTTGATCGATTCCATAGGTTTTCCATTTGATTAGGTAGAGGATTCTTAAAATGGGAGAAGCGATTGCTATTATTTGTTACAGTTCGTGTCTCTAGGTATTCGGACGTTTTTGGTCCCACACACGTGGACATGCTTCACAGCTGCTCACTCTTCTTTTCTGTCTTGGTCACCAAAGGTACTTGCTGCTACGTGGTTAGAATGCGTTTCTGCCTGCGTAAATTTATTCGTTATCAAACTGACTTGTCGTTCAAGGTCAAAAGCTGGTTCATCCAGGTTTCAGGATAACTAACCAAGTATCTGGTTTCATTAATAGCCAGCGAATGCTTACTTTCATTTGGACAAGCTATCTATGAGCCATAACTGGATCAAAGTGCAGTCGATGGTGGCAATGATCAGGCTGAATAGTGTAAAAAAATTTTGGTGACCTGCATGAGGATCAAGAAAACAGACTATCATATCCTTGAGTTCTAAAGTACATCATGTGCACGAACGTTGAGGTGTTGAGGCACACTGTACCACGAAAAGTGATGTTTCGTTGCTGATATTTTGAAGAGTTATGAGGACAAACTAGAGAGCACATTTTCTTGTCAAATTGGTTTTTCGTTTTCTGATGCGCTCCGTCCTTGTTGGGTCCATTCTGGCGGGCTGTTCTCTATCTTGGAGTTTCCCTGGGCCATGACAACACCCTACGCAGACAGTAAGTAAAATTATGACGTTGCTTTCCCATAAGAGCACCCTACACAATGAGCACGCTAGAAGAGACGTTGCTATATATCCTTTGTGTACCTAGCTAATGACACTGCGAGCACCATGTTCAACGAGGTACTCCGTTGATTGTACAATTCACATCACGTGGTCACGTGTTGGCCGGTTTCGCGGGTGACAACTTCTCAGATGGGATTTTCAATCGCTGGACAAGTACTTTCCCCCGGGGATTATCGCAGATTATGAGAAGTTCGGTAGATTATGGATACCAACAGTTTATAAGTAGCTCAGAAGATGAATAAAATTCACCCAATGAGTGAAACTTTCATTTGAGTAGCCGTCGCTCGAAGAGCAAGTTCACAAGGGACCACGTGATTTAGGTTCTGTGAGTGGAGCGTGGGTGGCACTATATACCACCGGTTATCTCGAAATCTGTCCGAAAGACACCTATCTGCCCGTAGTTGTTCAGAATCCTTTAACACTGACAAAAGAGTTGCAGGTTCACAGGACGTGTGCACAAGTGGACCGTGGTAACAAGCAGACTAATGTTAAAAAGCCATACAGATTACTTCGCACAAATTTTTTGGAATGATTGTTTATTTACCAACAAAAGTAAAATAGACATTGTGCTAACAAGCGAAATCACCTGATGTGTTAATTGTTCAGCCAGATTTCTTTTGAGAGCGTGAAAGTTGCTTCGGTTGAGTATGACGCCCGCGACCTCGTTCACTTCAGCAGAGTACGTCAGAACTGAAAGGCCCAAAATTGTGAGCTAGCTGCATATGGATGTTGCGTAACTAGCAGCACATTAGGATTTCATTCAAGTTTCCCAGTTTCTAGCAAAGCAAAGCTACTGGAATGGAAATTACTTTCTCAAATGTAAAGGAAGAATTCACAAAGAATAAAAATCCTGACGGTAGACTCCTCGAGTGTCAAAAGTTATCAGGAGGTTGGCAGAAGATGTCTTACTCTTCAGCCCCATAGAAACAAGGCGGTGACCACTGGTTGGGGTTGTAATTGGAATAAGTTAAACCGGTCACCTCAGAAGGGTTTGGTAGGCGACTGGTGTTATGTAGCTGGGCGCCGTTCCGCTTTCGATACAAAAAAGAGGGGGAAGGTCTTTGCTGCTGACTATGCTGCTGACCAGAAGAAAACTGTCTACTCAGAAAAAATCTTTAATCAGGAAAAACCCACTGAGCTAAGACGTGTTTCGCGCAATAGAGGTGACACATCACGTCTGATTAAGCATGCTTTGAGTGTAAATGTTCGGCAAATTGTCCATGACCTTGAAGTTATCAGTAGTATAAGTGTGAGCTTGCGCTTTTCAACTTGTAGGCTTGCTTCTCAGTATGAACGTTTAAAGGTACTTTTCAACTCCATCCGTAGCGAATTAGTAGACCATCTTTCCTTAATTTATGAGTGCTTCATATAGTGGTAGAGTCTACAGTCCTATAGTATACTTTGTTGCATATGAGCCAATCCGATCCTATTCAGATACTCGATTTATTTCATATATCAGTGATGTGAAAACTATACCAAACGGTGTATATCCAAATTTTGATCCGCCAGTGGGGATAATGCCGGGACGAAACACGAAGGAAATTCAATTTGTTATCAGCCAAGTATGACCGTACTGATGAGTAGCGTCCA